GGCGTGCAGACGGATGTGTGCGTGGAGGTGGCTTGCGGGTTTTTGCATGAGAAAACAGTGATAAGTTTGGACGAAAACTGTAATAAGACAGAAACAGGGCCCTTCTTTCTGAACAGCTGAAGTGACCAGTTCCAAACATTTCCTGTAGCCGGCTAAGTGTCTTCAGGAAGAAAAAGGGTCCCACCCCAAACTCTTCCTTGCAAAACTATCTCTGGAAATAGTTTTAGATGTTGGATAGGTTGCATGTCCTCGTAGATTTTAAGTTATGTTCAAATCTGGGATCTGTGAAGGCTAGTCTAAAACCCTTCCATCCATCCATCCATCCATCCATCCATCCATCCATCCATCCATCCATCCATCCATCCATCATCTCCCTCTCCCCCTCCCTCCTTCCCTTCCATCTACCCCACCATCTTCCATCCTTCCTTCCTTCTTTCCCATCCATCCATTATTTCCCTCCCATCCATGCATCCATCCATCTACCCATCCATCCATTATCTCCCTTCCATCATCCATCCATCCATCATCTCCCTTCTATCCATCCATCCATCCACCCACCCAACTTCCTTCCTTCCCTCCCTCCCTCCCTCCCTCTCTCCCGTCCATCCATCCATCCATCCATCCATCCATCCATCCATTATCTTCCTTCCTTCCTCCCATCCATCCATCCACCCATCCTTCTCTTTTTTCCCTCCCTCCCTCCCTCCCATCCATCCATCCATCCATCCATTATCTTCCTTCCTTCCTCCCTCCCATCCGTCCATTCATCCATCTATCGATCCATCCATTATCTTCCTTCCATCCATCCATCCGCCCATCCTTCTCCTTCCTTCCCTCCCTCTCTCTCTCCCTCCTTTTCCACCATTCTGCATCTCCCCAGTCATTCTTTTCTTATTCTGAATCTTATTTTAAAAAAACCCACAAAAAATTGTAAGCATATATTAGAATTTGCATAAAGGTGTTGTGTTTACCTTTGTTAGAACGTAGTGGTTTCTAGCAACTTCTGATCATTAGGATTGCATTGAAACAAACTCTTGGTCCAGGGGTACCAAATTTTTCCTGTGCCTGCATCGGACTCAAATGTCTTAAAAGTGTTGAAGATGACAATTCTGCCACAGAAATGGGGACGTAGGTCTGACCCGAAACCACCAGCACGATAGATGTGAATATCCAAAGGCCTACAACTATTTTTAACAGCTAAGCGTTCAAAGTCCAGTGGATAAATCTCCTTGGGTTTTTTTTTCTTGTTCTGCTAACATTTAAAAAAAAATCTCAGATTGTTCTTAATCTCAAGTCCCAATGTAGCTGTGGTAGGTCCTTATGCAAACAAAACAGAATACACACCCATTCTTAATCTTTGCATGATAGCAGTGCTAGCTGCCAAGGTAGTTGCCAAACCACTTAACGACTCAAAGCATTCCCATGGAATCACCAGTTTTTGCACTCAACTCAAGGAAAACCATAGATTTACTGAAGCATCAAAGGCACAAGCCTTATTTCCAAGTAGCCTTACTCGTATGCAACTGCTATCCTAAAATAATGTATACTGTAATAGTTAAGTTACTTTTATTGACACAGACTTTTGAATTGCAGG